TGTGCCGGGGGGGGGGGGGAAGTCGTGGCACACTCAGTGGCAGACCTGGAAGTGGACCAGAAATACTCCTAGTCCACTTCCAGGTTCACAGCCAAGCATGTGAGGGGCCCCCCCACACTGCTGTGGGATGCTCCATCTGCCTCAGCATTGCAGCATTCACATGCCGTGCCTGGTACCTTGAGGTATGTAGAAAAAACATTTAAAGCTGTGTCTATGGCCAAATTGCTGATTCTCGGAATCAGTATCGAATCTTCAGATTCAAATTCAGCCAAATCAAATCAGGGACAGTGATCCGAATCAACCGAATACAGCCCATATTGCACACCCCTACAAGCTATGCCCCTGGCATGATGTCAGAGTGCCTGCCAGCCATTGACTGGCCTCTCTATTTAGGAGGGTTAATATTGATCAATCTCAATCATTCCAAACTGGTAGGAGACCACCTAATAGATTTAATAGGTTCTCTGGGTCATTTAATTTTCTTATAAATTTGTCGTCAACTCATCTTAAGTGCAGAGGAGCTTGGATTTGTCAGGTACCTTAGAGATTCTGCAGGGGTGCATGGAATGGGAGCTCTGAAGGGGAGCAAGGCTAGAAGCAACCAAAAATGGCTCTTACTTTCCTCCTCTTGCTGTTGTCAGAGGGAAGGGTGAGGTTGGGGGGGAGGGGCACAATAGCATTTTTTCTCCTTGAAATTAAATTTTTCATAAACTTCTGCAAACATGTGACCTAAAGGTCTTAATATATGACTTTCTTCATTTTGCATCCCCCCCTTACTATTCATGGGTGCCTTTGCATGTCCCAGGTGAAAATTTTCTCATTTAGTAAAAGTGTGCTTGCAAACTTAAGTTAGACATTGGTTGATTTTTAATGCACTGTGTAATGCAGCCAAACAGCCACTCTTACTTAGTATTTATAACTAAAATATATAGGTATATATGTACATGTACATATTTATTGTATATACATGTGTATGTGTGTGTGTGTAGCATAAAGTAGAGCATTATTCTTTAAATACATTTTCTTTATTGTAGATGTTTCATTTTGAAAGGTTTACAGCAAAAGGAATTAAAATAATATACTCATTTAAAGAACTTCAAGAAATATTAAATAATTAAAGATAAGAAAATAGTGATTTGTAAGATATGCATGTTTCAGCATTCAGAATATTGTTTAGTCTCTCACTTAGTCTCTCACATCTACATTCATCTTCCTAGGAAGAACAAAGTATGTTAGCAATGGAAGACGAGGGAACAGTTCAGTTACCATTAGAAGGACATTACAGGTAAAATATATATTTGTTTTTTATTAGTTTGTAAACATCAGCAGAGCACCAAGCAATGAAATAAAATTTTATCTGGGCACCATACATTGTTCCTCAGTCTTTTGTGACATACACTCCCTATCCTTTTACAGTGGTTTTAAAATACCACAGCGTGCACTTGGAGGTGGTAAAGCATAGTCTGGACTATGGGTTTCCAATGTGTGGCTGCCAGATGTGGCTCCTGATCCCCTTTGCTTCAGCCTCTCACCCATGCTTGCCTCTCTGACATGGCTCTTCAGTGGCAAAACTTGAGGAATCCCTAGTCTAGAGTAATGGCATCTAAACACTGGTCCACAACCCCCTGGTGCTTCTTGAAGCCATAATTGGTGGTCCATGGATCATATTCCCCATCCCTTTTCAAATCAGTTTTGAAGATAGACATGCATGTTGTTCCAAAACAAATTTTGAGTTGACAATAGGTCCATGTAGAAAATTGATCAGGGCGTTAGGAGCCAGGAAGTCCTTGGCTTTAGTTCTAGCTGCGTCATTGGCAAGCTGGGTAACTTCTTTGTTCCTCATTTTCCCCATCTCTATAGTGGTTGTGACATCTGTTTACCTTACTAAGATGATCTGGAGTGTTTTTCATGTTTTTAGAGTGTATAAGGAGTAAAGCATAAAATAAGTGCTATGGAATGTTTAGGTATTATAGAACATTTGCTAATACTAATCTCCTCATGACCTTAAGTTTTAACATCAGTTATTATATTGTATAAATGTATTGTCATCACTAATGGCCAATCACTCTTGCATGGTGTCTTAAATTATGAGTTTGATTACACAATGCTATATTGAGTATTCATGGTGCTTTCCTGTCTAGAGATGATCCATCTGTAATAAACATTTCTGATGAAATGGCAAAAACTGCTGTGTGGAAGACCCTGCTGATATCTTCAGAGAATGCAAAGGATAAGGAGTCAAGCTTTCCCTCTAAAAGGTTTTAAATTTTAGTCATCAATATATTAGGCCTTGTGTACTGGTGCAAAGTAAAAATTTGATCTTTAACTGAAAAATTAGGGAATAGAAAACATCTTTAGCTAAAGGTAAGATTTGAAGAATTATTTATTTGAAAATGTCTAATTAAAAATCCTGAGCTGCAGTAATACACTATCCCAAATAGTTGCTTGTTAGGGGATGCTACAATGGAAAAATACATCCTTCAGCATACCTGATACTTATATAGCAAACCATAGTCACATAACAATTGGAACCAGTGCAGCATCTTTTCTAGTTCTGTTTTGAAATAAAAATATGATCATTAATATGATGGAAATCTTCACAGTCAAATGGAATTAGAACTAACAAGAGTTATATGTTTACATTTAGAGCAGAATATAACCCCTAAAATCACAGCAAAAATATAATTTATTCAATACATTTCCATTTATTTAAAACTCACATTTAGAAGAGGTAAACATTTTTCCCATTTAGCATGAAGTTTAAAGTATCCAGGTTTATTGAAAAATGAAGAAAGGTTTATTTTTGTCAATGCCATAAAATACTAATATGAATATGAAAAATGTGCAGCATTACTATAACAAATATCTACTTCTGTTTCCATAAGTTTTAAATTAACATTATTTTCTACTTAATTGTCTCATATCACATTTCTATCATAAGCTCCCCTTCCTAATCACTCTAGAAGCTGATTCCCCAAAGGTAAGGCCCTACCCCTCAACCTACTTCTTGATTGCATCTTTCTATATTAAGTGGTGTCTTCTGGGAACCCAGCTGACTCTACCATGTGTAATTTTTGGGGAGACAAAATGAATGGAAAATTAAGCAATCAGTGTTACAGTGTTTCTGCTAAAATGATATTATTTTGTGACAGTTGATATTACAAGCTGTGTCTTGGAACATATTTTTAAATGTCTCCATATTCAAAGTTTTTAAAGAATACACTAAATTTGCCCTTGGTGTACATGTATTTCTTTCCTGTATTAGAGTTTTGCTTTTTTAAAGTATCTGAAATTTCTAAATCCTGAATTCAACTTCAAACAACTTGAAATATCCACATTTTTATTTCTATGGCAAAAGATGAGGTAAGGGAATTAAACAGAGTTAGTTGTGGTCCTAATTTTTGTCACCCCAAAATAGCATGCCGCTTCTTCAGTGTCTTTCTTGTCCATAAACAGCATAAACAAGATGAACGGTATGAATGGTTAATGACCAATAGTTTTCATCTCCAGCTCCCTTATGTGTTTCATTTTAATACTAAGTTATTATCAAATATACTCACAGTGGAGACTGTGTTCTGTCTCCCACTTTCTGTGTAGGCTCAGAAGGCCCTAGTCAGAATTAATCTGCTGGGGCCCCTCTGAACATGAGCAAAAAGGCACAGTTTGGCTGTTCAAGGGAAAACTCCCTACCTGTTTGCAGTTGTGCCCGCCAGATTGTGAAGGGTTGGAGAAGAAGCAGAGGTGATCTCCTGACCAGAATTCCAATTTCAGGAATGGATAGATTGAAATTTCAGTGACTACAGTCTTGAGAGTAGATTCTTTTACCCTCCGTTTCTAGAGCAAGCCTCATTCACTTGAATTGCATGTAGGGATCCAGAGTTTGGCTCATACTAAAAAAAAAATCTGTTTTTTAGAGGCTTATTTAAATTAATACCAGCTTGCTCAAAACTTTATTACTGTGGAAACTTGACTTCTGTGTTTGTGGTTGTAGCAAGGAACCTACAAGAGTTTCTCTGTTTAGCTCCATTAGAAACTGGTCTTGAACCTAAGACATACAAGGTTTTAGCCTGTGAGACCTTTAGAGATCAGTGTTCCTCTGTATTTAAGTTTAGATGGTTAGCTCTTCAGAGCAAGAATGACGTTACTTATTTATCTACACTTTTAAAAATAAGCAATTGTGCGTGTGTGTATGCGTGTGCATGTGTGTGCATGCATGTCTCAATACATATATATAACAAAAAAAACAATAGTCATTTCAAAATTATATGAGCCACATTCTCTGCTGGTATATAATGGTGTATTTAGTAACATGGAGCAGATAACTCAGGAGATAATTTAACCTTGGGATTCTAGTAAATGAGAAATTGAGTGTGTCCTGATACTTGTTTGCACTCCTTTTACTTAACCTAAAATTTAGAGTTTGTTTCTGATGTTCTTTCTCATGAGATTTAAATTATGTAAGAACTAATGGGTCCTGTTATTTCACTTGGTTAGAGTGTGGTCCTAATAACAGCAAGGTTGCCTCCCTGGTTGAACTAGATGACCTCTTGAGATCCCTTCCAGCCTTACTTCTCTATGGCTAAGTACAGACAGTCAAAAAGCCTGAGGCTGAATTGACACAGCCTTTCCAGGTTAGTTTAAGCTGCAAACATTAAACTGAGAAACAAGTGGACAGACATTCACTTTTGATTCAGGAAATGCAGCCATATGCCTGTAATGGCTCAGGCCAGAAGCCAGGGGCCACTAGAGCTTGGCTTTTGGCACATAGGCAGCATGGGCAGTGTGTTTACTTCCTCTTTTTGCTGCCCCCGAGGTCTCTGGGATTTGAAGTCCAGAATCATATCAGTAGGACTCTGCAGGGTTGTT